AAAAATAATTAACAATTGAAGCAATAATAGGCAGATAAAAAAATAAGCAACAAGTACAAAACAATGACAATCCAATCCAAATACTAACTATGGCAATAGAAACAACAACATTAAGCCCGTCGGCTGGCCATAAACAAATGAAGGTTGTACTTACATATCATCATCCAAGTGGGCAGGCTTCGGCATTCTGTAGTTCTCTTTTAGCAGATACGGAAGACGATGTGCCTGGAGATTGGGATATGGCTTACCACCTAAAAAGCATGCATACTTTATAAATGGGCTCTACAAAGGTGTTTGAAAGTGTCGATTGAGTATTTCAAATGCCATCATCTCAATTCAGGTAATTGATTTCGATTATAAACGCCTATACCAGAAGAGTCTTTCTTTCGCTTGCCCGATAACTATCCAGGGAAAAGAAAAAATTGCGTGGAAAGAGTAACAGGTGGATTTTTCCCCAAAATGATTGGTAGGTTTTTTAAATAGAACTTTGGCAAGATTGGTCAGAATTTCGAAACAGCGTTATCCCTACAACAGATCTATGCATCCTAATTCGTTGCTCACCAACTTAATCACTTGAACTGAAAGCTAATTAACTCGGTTCATAAATACAGATCTACATTGCTGACCATTTGCCCCGATCCATAGGGGCTAAAGTATCTAAAAATGTAGAACTGAACATGTGAACGACAAATATAATCTTAAAACTACAACGGTTAAAAGAACGTGACATGCGATCTTACCTATCGTAAAAATTTCGTACAGCACAATGCCATAACTCCAGCTAAAAGAAAATACATGAAACAGACAAGGCAATTAACAAACACTTGAAGCCGTTAACACTGAGCCCTGTGCGGCCGCAAATTAATTTAAGAGCACAAAAGGAATTCTGACTGGTAGGCTTTGCTGTGTTTTCCGTGAACAGGCCCTTCAGGTGGCTCGATTTGATTTTCAGGGCCAATACCTTCCAAGTTAGACCAGGAACTCTGTCGGCATTCACAAGGATATGGAAAAACGATTACAACAGTATGAAAATTTATTATGAGCAATGTTATGTTGACATCGAAGTCGTCGAAGCAACGAAATGACGTCATTATCTATTTTACTTTCAGCCGTATTTGGAATTTTTCTTTTTACACAATCACTTACGAGTACTTACGAGCTTGATCATACAATAACTGCCTCAATGTTCGTGATATTTGAACAACATCTGTGAGAGTATTTTGGAGATGCTTCGTTGAAGTTTTTATGCCTCTAATTGTTATCACTTTTTAAACACTTTAGAAATGAGTTCTTAATTTAAAAAAAAAATGGAAAGTTTAAAATTAATTTCACAGTATTAAACTGTGATGAGAAAACTTACACATCACTCGCTGAAGTACATAATCCGTAGAGCAGCGACTCCATTGCGGTCCACTTCACTGGCAAGCGGCTCTACGATATTCAATTTTTAGTACATTAAGGTGACTCGACCCAGTATTTTTGGGGTACCATCCTACTTTGAAGCTCTCTGGTATCCCCACCTTTTTTTTATCGTAAGTCTAACACATAGAATGGATAACATATAGATCAATCTACAATATAACATAAAATTTTTGGCGATCGGAGTAAATGTCACGTGGTTATAATGCCACGCCCCTTTGAGGTCTGAGTCGAAAATCTGCTGTTGCCGGCATTTTCTCGTAAAAATCTCTCGGCTACACATAGTGCGCATTAGTGCCTTGCGCTGAACAGAGTTTCACCAAAATCGCAAAGACCCAATTCGAGAAATTCAGCGGTTTCCAAATTTAGGTCATAATTTATGCGAAAATGATAAGCAAACTTTCCACGGATTATATCTAACAAACTATGGGATTCATCTCTTTTTATTTTGGGCATCGTTATAACAGATGGGTCCTTGCAAGTCAGCAAAACAATTTAGCGCCTTGTAAATCCGCGCGATTTCGAGCAAAGCAAACATATAGAAATTATAGTTTTCGCTATTTGTTGACGTTTGTCAGCGTTTAAGAGTCAATCTCAGGAAAAAGCATTTTCTTAAAAATTCGTAGTTTTTTTCCTTCAAATTTTTCAGGGCCACAATTGATTAACTAACTACCCAGACTCTGAATTTCATGGTCATTGAAAAACTGCGACATTATCTTCTATAAGCCCAAACTTGAGTAAACATTGAAGATTTTTAGTGTTTGGCTGAGTTTGTGCTTTCGGTGTTGTCTATTGTTTCTAGTCTGTCATGATACAGCATTCTTGTTCAGCACGCGTGCAATGACCGCGCTTGGCTGACTTCCGAATACGATAATTTTGGTACAGTGAGACAGGGCATCGCGTGATACATAGAGGTTTAACTCACAATTTTTAATCAATTCTCGTGCTTCTTGTGCCTTTGCAAAAAAATCAAGAAGTGCTACACACTAAATCTACTTACTATTAAAAAAATATCATTTTTTCATAGGTTTAATGCAAGCCAATAATTAAACCAACTCGTGACGTGAATGAAGTACGTTTATCGCAACACCTCGCGACGCTGTGAGAGGGCAGAGGTATGAATAAACTGAAACCAGCCAATAGGTAAAAAATATGGTTAAAAAGAAACAAAGAAACAAACAAAACAAAAACAACACGACCAAAAAAGAGAGCGCCACGTGACCAAATGGTTAATGGCTATGTTAAATCAAGTTATTATCTTTAACGCTCTTCCCGTGAAATTCTGCCGGTAGACGCGGTTTGAAGTTGGTGGAGCTGCAGGGTTTTGCCGATAAAGCCCTAATTTACTGCGCTTTTTGAAAACACGCGAATTCTGAAGTTCAAACGCCAACTGACACTCACCTTAGCGGTCCTCTTACGAAACTGTAGTTTACTTCAACAGGTTCAAAAAAGGTCATGGTTTGTGATTGGTGGATTTCGATCAGTTTTGTCTGTTTCTGTATTAGGGTCCGTTGCTTGTGATCGTATTTATGATTGACGGCAGGGAAAAACGCAGTTGGGAGGCGGCTTTTGAACTTCAGAGTTCTCGTGTTTTTGAAAAGTGCGGTAACTGATTTCATCGCATTTGAAGAACATATTCCCGACAAAGCCGATAACTATCTCGCAAAACCGTTGCGAAGTCTCTCGGTTAGTTGCTGACGGCGTTGAACAGTTTTCAATTCCTCGTATTTGCACGAAGAGAATCGGTCGAGGTACACCAACAGTAAACATATTTTTTTCCACAGAGGATGAATAAACATGTCAACCTTTTATGAATAAAACACGATAGAGCACCCAGTGGAAGTTGTGCAGCTTGAAAACCTCAATGCAACTCGACGTCATGGGGAGAGAACTACCCACGGACGTAGAGGGACTACCAACCCGAAGTCAAGATATATAAATATATATGTTGTGGTTCAATTTTATACTTGGTTTAAATTTAATTTCCTTTGTTTTGGGGTATAATTAGGTATGATTATGAGTTTGAAACAAAGGAAAATAAATTTTAAACTAAGGATAAAATTGAACCACAACATATAGCTAACTCGTTTTTCTACCCCGCTGTGCGTCCCACGCACGTTCCAAGCACGTTCCACGCGCAAAGCGAGTTTCGACAAAATTCGCAGTATTAACTCGCTCCTCGAGGAATAAGCAAAATATAAGAGTCGCAAAATTTCTGATTGAACTGGGGTGGAGGTCAAGGGACATTATGCCGCTGTATTTGCTTGAAATACTAGCGATTTGAACTTAATAAATGTAAAGGCCCTGTTTAGTATTTACATCAGTTTGTTGTTGTTTTTAGTTAATACTTACTGTTCATCGAAGGTTGCTTAAGTTTACTATGAGAACTTTGAACAATACTGTCCATTTAATTTAAGTCAGCATTCTCAACCTACCTTGGTCCGTTTCTGATAAATATCAGTTTGTTGCACATCTCTCGCCATTCCAAAATCTGTTATTTTACAAATTTCTTCTTCACCTACAAGCACATTTCTTGCTGCTAAATCTCGGTGAATAATCTGCAGAAAAAAAGTACATTATACACTTAATGTCAGTTCCCGAGGGAAACAGTTAGTTTTGTTTTCGCGAGAGTCCTGATGTTTCCCTCGACTTCGTCTCGGGAAACTCACAGGACTCGAGGGAAAACAAAACTAACTGGTTTCCCGAGGGACCTGACATTTTAAAGCGTTTTGTTATATTTCTAGACTTTCACTTCAACAACAACGAAAGAATAACTGGAGCGAACCAAAACAGTCGACTCGGTACTTATAACAACACAAATTTAATTGTCAAAACCACTGTGTGAATGATTTACAAAGTACTTTCGTTTTATTACCTGCATCATTTTCCTCCACTAGCTACTTTTTTTTTTCTGGGAATTTCTGGGATAACTTTAAAAATCGTTGCTTTTTAGCTTGAGGCTTCTTGTTTGTGTTGTTGTGTTCATTCGCGAAAAAGAAAACTGGCAGGACCTGGCAGTGTTTTTCCCGCCTTCTGTCACGCCACTTTCCACCATGCTTTGATCACGTGCTGTAATGTAGCCCGAGCGGGGTACATTGCTTAATGTATCACGATCGGGATACATTTGATTTTAGTCACGGCCACGTGACCAAGAATTAACCAATGGCAGTCCCTGTTTAGTTGAGTGAAATCTGTTCGGTCATCATAGGGCAACTTGAGTGTTTTCGAAATTACACGGGCTTCAGTTTTATTTCCCGAAAATTTTAGATGCAATTTAAAGCTTTACGAAAGAAAAAAAAAAATTTCTCTGATTCCTCTCTCTATCGCATTTTCGAATCAGAAAATTTTAGGTTTTCTTTTACTTCGGAAAATAGCTTAACCTGGGCAGTGAAATGCGAAAAATTTAACTTCGGAAAATTGTCGGGAATTTATAAGATAAGCTTCGAAAAACGTTCATCCGGAAATTTTTAGTCTTCCTCAAGCTATAGAAAATTCTAGGCAATTTTTGCCTCTCCAAACAGATATTTAACAGAAAACAGTAATAAGGTGCCCTTGAAAAAAGTTAATAACCACCATAGGAAGGTACAGTAAGTTGCTGAAAGTTTAGTGGACGGAACAGACGGAGCCTACCTATGAAGCACGGAAGCTGATGAGAGGAATTACTAATCTGCCACATCGTTGCTAACCAACAGTACAGCCTGCATAACATCCGCTTATCACAAATACTTGTTTTTGCATGCATACACCGGCCTGGGTCGACAGAGAAACTCGTCAGCCTCATATCGAGCTAGACATGTCCCTGCGCCATGCAGCGTTGAAACGAATAATGCAATAAAAATAACTGCATACGCTAGTTTATATTTGACAATCACGACCTTTTAACCCCGCAGTGAGTTTGGGTCAAACGTCCACATTTCGTAGCTAAATTACATGTACATGGTGTATATGCCGAATTTATATATACACACTCAGTGATCTTGGTGATTTAAGCAATCTGATTGGTTCGCTATTTCGGACTATTCCACAATATTCACCTCCTAGCGAGTAGGTAATGTGTCAGGTCGGGGTTTTTCCCATTTTTTAAGAGAACGATCTTTAAAAAGTCAACAAAATCCTAGGGTTGACTTTTTTAAGGCAAGAGAAGACTTCGAAGGATTCAAAACGGCGTTTTTCTATTTACTGTAGGCGAGTTTTGTTCTCGATGGGTTGTTTACAACTCCCGTTTATTCGCGTAGAAGAGGCCGTTTCGTGGACTCAGCGTTTCCTAACAAGAAAAATTTAGCCCAAAAATCGAATTTAATCTATGACAAACAAATTTGAAAGCAAATCTTTGCAGAAAATTCTACGTTTCAAGTAAACAGGAAAAAGAATGCTACATGAAGACAACGTCTTACCTCGTGCAACCGAGCCGCCATTTTTGTCAGCACTTCACGCGAAGAACGACACAGCAAACGCTGAACAAAGCTTACTGGCTATAAACTTGGAGAGCCAAAAGGGAACAACAAAGCTCTACTTTTCTTCTCGGGTGAGGAAACCATTCAAACTTTAAACGGTTCCATTTAAGCCATTACGCTCTTGTTTGCGAAGTGCTAACCTTAATTTTGAAAAATCTACAAAGATCTACTTATAAACTTTTGCGTGATTTGATCCGTCAATCAAATCGTACTTTTTAATGGTTTCTCTTCTGATTTTTTTGAGATCACTTTGTGTGTATATACTAAAACAATTATTCTTTTCAATCTCGGTGAATAGTGGCTTTAATTACAACAACCACTCTTCACCTCGAGTTTAAAGAAAAATGGTTAAGAGCTAATGCACAGAAAAATCGAGCAAACCGTGGCCACAGCTCAAAACCTAACCTACCCTAATTTTAAGTCTGTAATAAGGTTTTAATGAATCTATAACACTGCTGAGGTTTAAATTTCAAAATGCGGCCGAATTTGGGAATTATTTGAGATTTTCGATTTCAACGGTCTGCTGCCTCAAATTAGCCGCCGGACACGGCAATGTAGCCTAGCGACAGAAATGAGCTGACTTTCATAAACGAGCGAATATATTGGCAATCTTCCACTTAAATCTCAAAAAACAGATATCTAACAATTTCTAAACAGCACATTTTTTTAGATTTAGAGAATAAAGTATCGACGAACGACCACAATTTTGAAACGTAATTTGCATAATGCTTCTAAATACAACAATTTACCTCTAAAACCAAAATCGAATTTTCTATATGGGGAGATTCTCTAAATCACCCCAAATCCCGCTTACTACCTAATGAGATATAGTACTTCAGAGTTTGACTGATAGTCGCGGGTCGCGGGCCGCGGGTCCAAAGTCGCGGTCGCGGGTCCAATGTCGCGGTCGCGGGTCCAGTGTCGCGGTCGCGGGTCCAATGTCGCGGCAGGGGAAAATGATTTGGGGTTCGAGGTAACAGCTGAGTGAAAACGACTGTTATGAACACAATACCGCGACTTTGGACCCGCGACCCATGACCATGACTATTAGTCAAACTCTTCGAGGGAGAATTATTTCTTGATGTTATGCTGATTTCGCAGTCACGGGAAAACAGACCTAGACTCAGGTCCACTCGCAGACGCCATGCTGCAATCTACAAGATCTCACGAACAGAAATTACAAATTGAACGGCCTCTCCTTTTGAAGATTGCGTGTATTTCATTAAAACAGGTACATATTAAAAGAATCTTGTTAGTTTCTCCCTTTTAACGAGCTCAAATCGACGTGACGTGCACGTGTCAATTGACCCTGGCGTCAAAATAATCAGTCTATTTTACAAGCGTTCGCAAGAACACCAGACTAACTTTCAGATAATGTTGAAGTACTATATCTCATTCGGTAGTAAGCGGGATTTGGAGTATTCCCCCATATAGAAAATTCGATTTTGGTTTTAGCGGTAAATTGTTGTATTTACAAGCATCATACAAATTACGTTTCAAAATTCTGCTGGTTCGTCGATATTTTATTCTCCAAATCTAAAAAATGTGCCGTTCAGAAATTGTTAGATATCTGCTTTTTGAGATTTAAGAGGAAGATTGCCAATATATTCGCTCGTTTATGAAAGTCAGCTCATTTCTGTCGCTAGGCTACATTGCCGTGTTCGGCGGCTAATTTTAGGCCGGCAGACCGTTGAAATCGAAAATCTCAAATAATTCCCAAATTCGGCCGCATTTTGAAATTTAAACCTCAGCAGTGTTATAAACTCATTAAAACCTTATTACAGACTGAAAATGAGGGTAAGTTAGGTTTTGAGCTGTGGCCACGATTTGCCGATTTTGCTCGATTTTTCTGTGCATTCGCTTAAATAGTTAAGGTTCTCATAACCAGTACAACAGAGCGCTTGGGTCTTTTGGTACCTTGTTGGCTGCAAGAAATGCCATGCCATCAGCTATTTCCTGCGCAAACCTAAGAAGCTGCTGTGATGTGAGTGAACTTGACGGTTTCACATCCGGGTCTTTGTAGTATTTGTCATCAAGGCCTCGACTTCTTCTCAGGAATCCCAGGAGATCTCCGTAAGGTATGTATTCAAACAACACCATAATTGGGTCTAAAAAGAGCCGAGAAAGGGGGTTTTCATCTTTTAAAAGACGCGAGATGAACAAGTTCCATAACCAAGATGTTGGTAATGATGAGTTCATTATTATGTCTAATTTTAGTGAACGTATCGTAATCGGTTTTAAAGTTATAGAGCCACCACCTGTCGTAGGAAGATTATAAGGTTTGGATACCGGGATTTAGATGCTGTAAGGATGCACTGTTAGTAGCATAAATATGTTGCATAGATACAAGCATAGCTTGAAATTGGATGATTTTTTATGTGGACTGCGTGCATGATCATCAAAATTGGCAGGTATTGGATTCAGTAATGTCACAAATTTTGAATAGAATGACGACTTGTCATATAATGACTATCCGATACAAAAGAGGAGAAACCTATCCATACAGACACAGTTTTCTTTAGGGAAAATTCCCTTGGTCTCAAAGACATGGAAAGATCCAACTGAAGCAACACGGACACCTCTGTGATAGGCATGTGGCCTTGCGTCTTTGCTGTCTGCATTTAAGAGGTTTGACAGTTTCTTAATAGCTTACACGAAAGACACAATATTTGATTGAAAGCCATTGGACGATGTTCCGAGATTGAGATGTGCCAATCAAGGGGTCGCAACTCGCCTTCCATAAAATAACGCACTTTTAAAACAGTAATAATATCGGGAAAAAAGAGAAAATTTTACCAGAGAGTGTAACGGCACCCATAAGCCTTATGACGTTCGGATGGGGCTGCAGCTGCTTCATCAGTTCATACTCAGCCAAGAGATCTTTCTTGTTAGAGTCCGGGGCTTTTTCTGACTCGAAGGAGAAAATTAAGACGTAATCCATCAGGAAATTAAGTAATTTCAATTTTCAGTGGACAAAAACCTTGTACCAGAGTAATTTAAACAATATCGCAATGCTGTTTACATTTTTCAAGGGCTGTAGATATAATTAGTTACCTGTAATGACACCAAAGACTATTTCTTATGGGAGCCTGAGAAAATAAATGTCAAATTTCACAAGAAATTGTGAAAACACAGGTAGAATTCTGAAAATTTAATGTGTATAGTGTCGTTTCGTGAAATTTAACATTTCTTTTCTCAGACTCTCATAAGAAATTTTCTTTGGTGTTATTACAGATAACTAATTACATTTATAGCTCTTGAAAAAATGTAAAAGAATGCGACATTGTTTAAATTATTCTGTTAAGGTTTTTTTCACTGAAAATTAAAACTACTCAATTTCTGGTGGATTCCGTCTTAAAGTGTAAGTAATAATAATTATAATCTCATGTGGCAGAGTTTGCTCTTTTTGTTCTCCGTATGGCTCGCCTCTGCGATTCAAGCACTACGACGTTTCACAACTTTTCACTAACATGGAGAAAAAGGAAGCACTTCTCGGCTAAAAAGCAGTACGATTGAATCACACTGTACGATTTCAGCGCTTCCAAATGATTCTCAAAGTGAAAACAAAGATTATAAACTTTTGACATGAACCAGTTAGGGAAATCCGTCGACACTACTGGAAAGAGCGCATTAGAATCAGTTAAACTTGCCAAGTGATTTGTTTCTGATCAATGTCTCCATCTCCGTCCATAGTTCCCCACTAACTTATGAAACATTGATGGGTGTATAACATGTGAATCCGACGCATGATACTCTTCCTACTGCCCAGAGCTTTATAATAATATAATAATAATATTTAATACTTATATTGCGCTTTTTCTATAAAAATACTCAAAAGCGCATTACAATGTAATAATAACTAAATTAAAAACCAGTAAAATTACCCGGTAAAATTACAATGTTAAAAATAAATAAATAAATAATCTAACTTTAAAGCCTTCTTAAATAAATATATGTTTTAACCGACGTTTTAAAAAGGTCGAGTTGATGTTTCCTGTCTTATTGGCAGAGGAGAACTGTTCCACGCCAAAAGGCGGCCACATCAAATGTAGCGCAAATCTCCAAAGTCTTCTTCGTTCTTAGCCGAGGTCTTTCTAGCAATATACCATTATTGTTGCAGCGTAGCTGGTAACGTGAGTCAGTAGGACAAGAGACAAGATCCTTAAGATAGCTAGGCGCAACACCGTAGAGAATCTGCCGATGTAACAAGGGAGAATCTTAAAATCTACGCACCAATGCCACTGGTAGCCAGTGGGTTCTCTTAACCAAGGAGTAACGTGACAATACTTAGGTGCATTAGCTCTTATTTAATTCCAGTTGAGGCTTGAAAAAAGTCTCCCATTAGTGACAAAGCTGGAACTAACCTTTTACAAGTTCTTATACACATAACTGAGACGAAAACAATGGTGTACAAATTTTCGCTTCATGAAAAAAAAAAAAAAAAAAAAGTCCCATGATTTCTTTTTATTGATGAAAACGGCCGGGGCCAAAACCTTAGTAAAGCCCTAATAAACTACAGATTGAGGCAGGCTTTTGAAAAAGAAGCTTGCCTTATACAAGCCTGAGTTTTTGTCTGGGGTTGACGGAAACTGAACTCAGTACACTTGAAACCAAAGAGACCCGCACCTGTAAGGGTGGGTGCTCACGTCCCGACGATCTTACTGACAAATGATAAGGGGACTGTGAACAGTCTAGTCAGAACAGGTATTGAATTGATCCTCCTTCGCTATACTTTCAGTTCGACGATCTTACAATACAGGCGCAGAGGTTTTCCAGCCATTTTGCCTTGATGAACTTGAGCTCAAATCTGTCACGCTAGTATGCGCAATTGCATAGAGATAAGCACGAACGTTACCTCGCACATTAGGCAGCCGGTCCTAAACATTAAGATAAAAGCCTGTTGAAATACATTGGAAGCTTGCGCTTACCTCTCCTGCACGTCCCTTCTTGTCTTGAAAAACAGAGGCCGCTATGACGATATTGGGCAGAAATCCGACGCCACCGGTGATGGCGAGATCAATACTACTGGTATTTCCGTCTGGTCTATTTCTGAAAGAGTACAACTGATCAACAAACAGATCGAGAATCTTTCCTTTTTATCCCTTCAATGTTTACAGCAATACTTAATGCATAATACATATGGAAATTTATGTCCTTATAAGTACAGAGTGTATAAAAGCTGTCAATAGAATAAAGGAGGAAAACAAATCTACGAAACCAAACTCTTATTCAGGGTTTCAAGAGGCGTGGAAATACGTCTAATTTTTGTTACTCTGTTGATCAGCGGTGCTAGTAGCTCATTGATCGATTAGAGCCAAAACAGTCAAATTCTAGAATAAATTATTTTTAAATTCAAGTAGGCGAGTCCGTCGTAGTTCAGTATCAGTTCCATTTTTTTGGACTTTTAGTATCAGATACATACCAGTCGTCGCAGTGGGTGTCAGGAAAGGCGTTATTGGCTCTAGATAAAAAGGACAAGTCTCAGTTAGCTGGTAACATAATTTCCATATTCAAGCACCTAAGCATCAATCAATCACAATACCGGTTTCTTTTGCTCGCTATGCTTGAAATTCCAACTTTACTAATGCTAAAGCGAATTCATACCTTTATCAGTTAAAATACCCCCACAAATGCGACCAGCGTGCGTTGGGTCCGGAATCCCTTCTGGTGGTAGCAAGACTAATGAGACTTTTTTTGGGAGGGAATGGTAGGCATTACATTTTATGGGACAAAATAATGTTGTTGCAAATACTTGGTGGAGGTATCAACGGTTCCATTGTTTTGTAATTCCATATATGCTCGAGCTCTAGCCTCAAAAGTTGTAAATATATGAATGAAAATACAATCTCAACACGAAGCATCACTAAAAGCATAGGAAAGGCCAAACATACGAACAAATTAAACTAGCAAAAATATATATATATTTCTTTAACCCTTTAAGTCCCAATAGTAATCAACATCAATTTTTCTCCTAACAATATCCATACATTTGTCAGAGATTAGGTTATGAGAATTAATAAATGATCACTTAAGAAAAAATGCTTTGATCTTTTATCAAATTCTCTCAACTTATCCTTACAAGGAAATGTATAGAGACCAGTTTGAAGAATTTGTATATGGAATGGATATTGGGGCTTAAAAGGTTAAAAGAGGTTGATCCACTACAAACTGGGGGAGAATGCTTTGCGCCTTTTTCAAAGTACTTTGAGATATAATAGCTTCTGCGACCACCATTTTGTGCTATTGAGGTATAAATAATACTCTGTGCATGTACATATGGATTAAAATTGCTTTCACGATAATGTCTGCTAATTTTTAAAAAAGTTTACCACTTTCAAAAAGTTTCGGGGAAACCGTTTGGAAGGTAAATGGGTCCCCTACTCTTTACAAACAGTGTCTCAGTCCTTTAACTATCATTATGCCAAATTTCATGCTTTTTAACAGAAAGTGAACAATTCGAACACATATCTGCTCTACTATGAAAATTTTCGGTTAGATCAAATTTCTCACCTTTATACTTTCATGCTATATTTTTTTGCAGCAGAGGATTGGGGAAGGGTGCATTGTGAAAATCCCAGTTAAAAAATACTGCTGATCGTTTCTTGTGCTAAATGCTAAATGCTAAATTACCTATTTTTATGCATAACGGTATAGAGGCTTAAAAAGCGCGGTCGGCAGACCAATTAACCTCTATTATGGGTATTATTTTAAGAACTAAACAGCTTTATCAATGTAATACTTCTCCCTACCTGGTGGAGTAATGAATATCTTTGATAAACTCTTTGTCCCCCTTTCCTTGATCGTTTTTCTGCCACTACAGAGAAATTATAGGACTTGTCCCATTTCAGCGTAAAATTGTGGTTGGTAAAATTGCCCACATCTTTTTCACTGGAATTGCCGCCTTCTTCCAGAATCCAAACCCAATAACGAAAAAATAGGTCTGCCTCTTTCATCTGGTTTGGCTCCAATATAGGACAAAGGAACGGTTGTTTAAATGTCTTTGCTTGTTTCTTATTTCTGGACGACCTGGAGGAAAGGCTGCTGGAACAAAGAAACAGTGCAGAAAAAAAAGGAAATTAAGGTTCCTTCCCTACTTTTAAACTGGGGACACTCCGAGACACATTTTTTTAAAATCCATTTTACCTGTTCTATTAACATGCACTTTGAAGGAGTCATTTCCAAGGACATTTCTCGATAAACAAGTGTAGATGCCAAAATCTGGACTCACTTTGAGGCTTAATATTTCCAGTTGTACTCCCCGTTGAATAGCAACCGATCATCTTTCAACCATATGATTTCTGGTTGTGGATTTCCTGTTGCCTTTACAAGTCAATATCGACAGTGATTAAGCCAAGAATCGATTTTCTTGTCACGACCAGTCTTGTTTATCATAGGTCTATCTGGAAAAGTAAGGTAAAAGAAGAACGCTAACGGGTTCTACTCAGCAGGTTCCTTTCTTTTTGTTTTTGTTTTTTATTTTGGTTGTTAGTGATCAGTGGCATCCCTTATTTCATGTTACTTATTTATACTTTTTTGTATTGATCAAAGGGTATCAAGAGGAGCCCACAATCCTAGTCTTTTTCAGTTGCCATCACGCGCGTTTGTTTTGGACTTTGACTAAAGAATAAATGGAATGCTCAGAACGCAGACTAATCACGCACGTTTGGACCATCAATTACTCGTAATATAATCACGCGCGTTTACGCAAGCACAACGATGGAGAAAAAGGTGTTTTGACGCCGCGCCCCTAACCTTGGTTATTACTAGTTAATGTTTTTCCCGTCGACAGGTTGATATTAGAGAGTTTTAGATCCGAGTTTACCGCGAACCTCTAACCGCTGAGGTCACGTGACAAGTCTTTCCTTCACGTTTAAGGTTTTACGACGTGCGTTTTCAACATGGGAGATTGGTTTTCACGTATGTCATTTACCTGAACACTTTTAGCGTGTAATTCTTGTTTCATCCCACGTAATGATACAAAATCTTGTGGAGCAAGTCTTTATCCATTAACAAAGGCACAAATTCGGGCGAAATGCTAAATTTATAAATCCTATTGGATCTTGAAAACAAGTGCCATTCATGGCTGCTGATTCAAAATGGCGGCCTTAATTTAATTCACCGCCAATCTAAATCGAATTTTGTTTGACCGTCGAACCGCAGACGGGTAACCGCAAACCGCGGTTAGAGGTTTGCGGTAAACTCGGATCTAAAACTCTCTATTAAGAATGTTCGACACGAAGGTAGCCAGCACACGTTTTAACTTCCACTAAGAATGAATGGAATGCATAGAACGCAATCTGATCATGCACGTTTTGGCCTTCAATATATCAACAGCCTTAGAGCAATAGTTTTTTGACCTTCAACCAGACGCCCGAAACTCGGCCTTAATCACTAACCTGATTACCAACTGTAGTGTATTCATTTATTCTTATTCTTATTTATTTTTATTTATATATTTATTTTTGCCGAAGGGCCATTTTAGACAGCTCATCCCATTCGGGCTTGCAGATCGTTAAGACCAAACGTAACGGTTTGGTGTGATCAACCGAGTTGAAAAAGTCAATTTACAACTATATTAAAAGGTATAAGAGCTGACAGTTAAAACGCTAGCGATCATTTTTGTACAATAACTGAATTATATCTCGCACGCTGATTGACTTCTTATCCTTATCAATAAGAGGGCAGACACATACCATTTTAATTAGTGCAAGACGCGGTCATTTGCCGAACGAATGCCAAACTTCGGTGTTTTTGCTTAGTTCAGTCATTGGGAGCTAAAATGGTCGGACATTTACGCATATCAATGAGCCATTGAGGCGGACTAATCAGGCAAAGTAGAAGATGTACTTTCTGTTCTCTGAGAAAAATAGATGTCAGTCTTGCATCAGAGCTGTCTGGCTGTTTGGATTCTCTGCAAAAAGCTTAAGCAAAAGAAACTAAACACGTCACTTAGTTTCCAAAAGCGGAGACGACTTGCTAGAAGTTGTACAGTTTCAAAACTGCGATTTAGAAAAGCTTTTAATATGCGTATATAGCTTTAAAATTAGCTTAAAGATTCCAAAGAGAATAATATAGAAAAAAAAAAAAAACGTACAGAATGATGTTTTTTTTTCTCGTTCTACATTCTAGCGTTGGCGTCTAAATTCGTCACTTTGTCGCCAAAACTCCGGTCACTTTGCTCATGTATTCAGTTTGTTTATTAAAAATAAGCACTAATAATGAGTGTTTTTCTGATCCTTTTTTCCGAAAGCAAAACAAACTTTTTGTACAAACTTTATGCTACTTTGTAAGTACCTGGTAAGTCGAATTCAAAACTTCATGCTTAATATAACCCACCTTTCGGTTTGATTGTACACAGCTCATACAGCTAAATGGAATTCAGGACGACAAACAGGACACGACCTGAAGTTTAACCCGCCGTACACGATTTTTGTTCGTACTGATCGGTTGGCAACTCTTCAAACCTGCCAGGCTAGTTTGATCTTGAGACAGCTAAACGGTACATTGCTCCGACTTCTTCGGTTACTCTAACGGCTCCAAAATCTTTCCTTGGAATAATATTTAACCTTGGGTTAGTTCACGACTTTATACAGCCCTAAAATGCCTTCGTTTTTCAAGACAATAAACATCGCTGATCTCATTCTTGTTTGAAGTTTGCAAAACAATGTCATTCCTAATTTATGCAGGACAGCGAAGTGACTCAACCTGTCAAATTTTTAGCCAATGAAACTCCATTACTTGTCATACATACATACATACATACATACTTTTTGTTACCTCCCAAAGGGGCTTTTCAGGAACAATGATTATTTAAGAGCATTACAAAATTTATATTAACTAATTACAACACTCAACTTAATACTAATTAAAATGCTAGCCAATCACTAATTACAATGTTTTTTAAACTTAACTACGAAGTATTTACAAAATTATCTAAAAGCTGTCTCCTAACAGTCCTGTAATAAAAGGCTCTCCATCCGGAGGCAGTTCTGAAAAGAAGGATGTTTAGCTTTTGGCTACTCCGAGTTGTTCGTTCGCTAACTTGCTCACGGGTAATAAATTGGGAAGTAAGATATTCAGGGGCGTGACCGGTCATGCATTTGAAGGCTATAATAGGTTAGCGATAGTACAGTTGACCTTAAGAGGCCACCAAGACAGGCTTTTTTAAGAGAGGTGTTACATGATCATATTTTTTTCTCGCCGCTGACGATTCGGCAAGCAAAGTTTTGAACGGCCTCCAATTTTCTAACATTCTTATTTGTGATATTTGCCCAAACATTCGAACAGTAGTACATTTTGCTGAAGACCGAGGCATGCATTACGGTTAACAACGTATTTTTGTCTAAGCAATGTTTGACCCGGTTAATTTGCGCTAGGCGTGCTATACATTCCGACACTGTGGTCGTTATATGGTTATCAAATGCTAAGTACGGATCCAAATTACGCCAAGATCTCTCGCTGATTGCCCTGGGGAAATGTCAGTCCTTTTCCAATAAAGACAAATGAAATTCACGGAGCTTAGAAGTCACCTTTCGGATCTTCATTCATTTCTTGGACAATCCGTTGGGAGTCGTGTAAATTAAAACAAACAAACAGTTTTGTATCGTCTACATAACATTCTGTAGAACAATGCCTAGGAGCTTCTGGTAGATCATTTACGTACATGCTAAATAATAGGGGGCCTAGAATACTGCCTTGAGGAACGCCACATTCAACTGGAAGAGGATCGGAAGGGCGATCCCGCACCTATTTGAAAGATTGTTTGTGATTAGCTGGGAAAACAGTAGGGATTGTCACATAACAATGCCCCTATCCCTGATAACAATGGGAGTGCAGATTAAAGGGAGAAAGGTTTAGAACAGAGTGCAGATTAAAGGGAAAGAGGTTTAGAACGGTGCAGGTCTACTGGATCAGAAACGGAACTATGAATTCGTACATCTTGATATCTATTTTTAAGGTAGATGTTAAACCATTTTAGCGCGCTGGTTGAGGCGCTGACGCTGCGTATTTTACGACTAACAGTATTTGGTGGTCAACGCTGTCGAAGGCTTTACTCATATCTAAAAGTACGCAGGCAGTCTATTTCTTATCATCAATTCCTTTGAGAAATGCATCAGTTGTGTGAATTAAAGATGTGTCAGTAGAGAACCATTTTTTGTTGCCGCTTTGTTTTGTGGTAAACCTTTCCTCGGTTGTCAAATAGGTGACAAACTTATTATAAGCCACTCTCTCGCAAACCTTGCTGGTAACAGGGAAATCCGTCTGTTATTGTTAGGAAGTTCGTGGTTGCCTTGTTTGGGAATAGGTGTCATTTTGGCAGTTTTCCAGACCTCAGGAATGTTGAAGCTAAGAGATAAGCATTGATGATTGACGTAATAAAAGGGAGTGCGATCAACAGGCTGTCCTTAACGACTCAAGTTGGCATATTGTCAATCCCAGGGTCCTTATTAGAAGGCATTGCGTTTGTGACGTCCGCGACTTGTTTACAATCAGCATTATTAAATGTAAATTGCTCACTAGTAGGAAAACATTTAGGAGGAAAAGCGTTTGCATGAAGAACGAAGTGCCCAAAAAATTACTATCCGTCGTTCTCGGACCATCTGAAAGACTTACATGGCGCTCTGTACTGTATGTATTTAAAGACATTACGCAAATCAAGTCTCGAACAATTTCTTTGTTTCTCTTCTTCTTCTCCTTCTTGAAGCAGCCTTATTTGTTGGCCGTATCCACGGATGCTCTAATTCTCTAAACAACCTACGCATGGAAAAAAGTTTATAACGCCTTTTATTTGATTAAAGGGCAACTCTCGCATAGGACAACATTTTTCGGAAAAACCTTACAAATGTTTTTCTCATTGAAATACCACCAAGAAATACATCTTCAGCGATCTATCTGACTCAGAGATCGAGATTCAAAGTGTTAAATTTGCCGCTTACTCGAACTTCTGCCATTA